TCTTAAAGTAAGGGGAGGATTAGAAATTGAAGGTGCAACATGGGCACCTTGGTTGCCTTGAATGATGGGAGGTGGTGGAGCATAGATTGGCCTTGGCATTCCCAATGGAACTTGGCCTTGTTGTTATGGTGGATGAACATATGGCCTTGGCATGCCTAATGGTACTTGCTTATTATCATGATGCACATTGGGGTAGAGGATACCTTGTTGGTCTATGTGACCAAGGTCTTCCACATGGTCCTCATTGTGTTCTTCAATTGATGAAATGGATTGACTAGAACTACTTTTTCCCCTAGGGTTTTGAACAATCGATTCAAGATAAAAATTTAAAGGGACGAGAGTGGGTCTCAATGATCTACGACCATGCATGCACAATGCAACACAACAGGCAATGACACAAACACTTCACCTTCACAACAAGTCAATAATCAACAAACTTCCTCCACATACAATGTTCTCATACTCCCATGCTTAAACAATATGCAAGAAAAGTAAATTGCCTCCACGTGGGCTCACGATTTATCTAAGAATTAAAATACAAGCCTCCACGCGGGCCGACGATTTCACTAAGAGATGAGTAAAGAAAAGCTCACAAAGGTCCTTTAACACTCCAACTCCAAATTTATAGCTTAGCTTAGCAATTTTTTTTTTTATGATTTTAGTATTTTTCCTTTGCTTGCTTAGTTCTTTTGCTTGGATGTTCCTACGCTTACCTTCTTAGCCCAATGCACCTTGTCAATCAAGAACAAACACAATAAGTAGCAAAAATTGAAAACAAAGTAAAAACAAGATCAAAAGAGTACTAATTCCTAATTGATTCCACAAATACGATGTTGCCAATCAATCAATCTCCGACAACGGCGCCAAAAACTTGGTGTTGGGTTCGTCGTCTAACCCAAAAAGTTTATGCAATGTGGCTTAGTTTTACATTTAGAAATTGCCACTACTACCTTTCACTAAAAATATAGCTAGGGTGAGTAGGGATCGTCCCAAGGGATTGAGGGTCGCACTAGGTTGAGGAATCAAAATTAGGGTTAGTAGGTCGAGTGATCAAAATAGTGGTTGGTTGGTTGAATTAAACTAGATGCAAATTAAACTAAGTAAACAATAATGCAATAGAGAGAATAAGAGAGAGAGAGAGATCTTGGGGTTTAGAGATCACCACTAAGCATAGCTTTTCTACACCTTTAATAAATAATTAATGAAGGGAAGAACATGTATTGCAACAAAGTATCTGTGTGTGGTTGTTCCAACAAGCATGGATGACAAATTAAGCATATACTGTCTAAACAACATGGTGAATAGCACAACATATCAAATTAAGCCATTTTCTTTAAGCTCACAACCAAACACATCACAAGGTTAGAGATATATGTTACTTGCTTTTCATAAGTATAGAACATCCACAACAAGCATGGATTGTCCTCCCATTTAACAACTATACTACAACTAAGCTAATGGCATGAAATTAAGCTAATTAAACTAAGGGAGAGGTACAATCCATCAAGAAATGAGTATAAACCATCAAATAAACCACAAAAACATGACATTAAGCACTATATCTTGACAATCTCTAGATTTATAGCATCAATAACACAAGAAATAGAGACAAACATATGAACATCTATTCTAGCATACATAGACATATGGATAGAATGAAATGATCAATTGGAAGCATTAAACCACATAAATCGTTGAATAAACAAGATCTATATATAAAAATTGTCAAGACATGAATCACAATACAAATCACCTCAAAAATACATAAATCAAGAAGTAGAAAGCATGCTTAGGGCTAACTTTAGCCCCAAGAGGATGTCTAGCCACTCATGGATGATGTCCTCCAACCCTCAACGGCAAGCTCCATAGAAGAAATATGCTCCTTGGTTGATGAAAAGTCTCCAATGGTGTCTCTAGCCTTCTCTTCCTCTTTTCTTCCTCACTAAATATTTGTATCAAAGTATATCAAAAGGCTCTCTCAAAAAGTGGCTCATATTCTTTATATAGGTAGGTCAAAAATCACCTCAAATGATCTGGGCTCGTACACCAATAATCATCTAATGATTGGATATGAGACAACTTTTAATGAGCTGGAATTTGGATTTTTCTCGGGATTTGGGAGGTTCGATCAATCGAACTTGAGGTGCGATCGATCAAACATGGCTGAGATCTATCGAATTGAAGTTGGATCGATCCTCAATGGCGGCACCTTTTTGGATAAAAACAAATCTGAGATATTTTGAAAATATTTTTGGGAAAAGAACAAAAGTGGTTGGTAGGGTTGTACAACTGGATAAGATCAATCATTTGGATAAGGACAAGATGGTTCAATCGATCAGAGAATGAGGTTGGATCAATCGAACTTTGAGATTTTTTAATAGGAACAAACATGGCTCAGATCCATCTTGAAGTGCTGAGATCGATGAAAGTTGGATCGATCGAACTTTTCTTGAGATCGATCGAAGTTGCTGAAATTCCACCCTTTGCTTCCTTTTGTTGTACTTTGCTTCTTTCTTTGATTCATTCCAGAATTGCTTCAATTATGCTCTTATTTGGCTGAGTTAGCTTGTTTTGGGGATAAGTACCTGAAAATGGAAATAACACAAAATCAACACAAAACGGTAAAATAAGATAGATAAAGGTTCTAGAATACCTAAGCTTAAGGGGTTTAAATACGCACTTTTTAGCGCTCATCACCTTCCATATACTGAGAATTGATCTGATAAATTTTCGATGGAGAAGAAGAAATACTTGAGGAGAGTAAGGAGGATGAAGGTGGAGATAAATGTAATACCCCTAATTTTAAAAGGACAGTCTCGGCATTTTAATATTTATTTTATTACCTTTTTATTTGTTTAATTGTAAATTTGGTTTGTTTAATTGTTTACTTGCATTTATTATTTGATATTTGATTTATTTGAATTAAGAAGAAGGAGAAGATGCTTTGTACAAAGCAAAGGGAAAAGAAAAGGCTTCTCAGGTATTTTCAATGTGGCTGGACCTAATTTTTCATATTCTGGACTTCACTTATATTTCCTTATGCAGGGGCTTTTGTCAAGAAGGAATTTCAACCCCAGTTCTCCTCTTCTAATGAAGATTCCTCTGATGCAGAAGTTGGTATTTCCAAAGGGCATACTACTACTCAGTATTCTAGCAAAGCCTTCAAAATGCATAGCCCTTCTAGAAAGATTGTTGGAAAAGCAAAAAGGAAAATCATGCCTAATCTAGAAAAAATAGAAGAATTTAAACAGCCCAGAGACTTCCCAAAACACAAAAAATCAAAGCTATCTAAAGAAATTATTTTGGTTAGTCTCTGTCTCTGTGCCCTTCTAGTTTCATCACTTTAAAATGTTTGTAACTCCCTTCAAACTTGACTAACAGGGCTCTTCTATGGAACACAACTTCATGAATATCCATCTAGACCAACAAATTGCACAAGGAGAGGATTTAGCCCTTTAAGCTTCGATTATGGAGAGTTTGACCCGCAAAAGTAAGAAAAGTCTTCCTATTCTAGCTCCCACTATTAGAACATCCATTCCTTCTGGTACTAGTGGAACTTCTACAGGCCCTGCTCCTTCCATCCTAGAGGCAAGTCTTTACACTTTTAAACTATGCCTCCTTTCTTTCTATCTATCTAATAAAAACTTGTTCTCACTTCAGGCAACTCCTTCCTTGTCTACATTGACCTCTTTCATGGTACAGAGAAGAGCCCTTCCAGCTTTGGCCGATCTTTACAAAGTGATCAAGGCTACTAAGTCTTCCAGTACTTCTACCTTAAGTGTTAGTGTCCTCATGCTTCCAAGGCCTTCAGATGATGTTATCATGGTGGCCAAAGAAAAACTATTGTCTTATCTTGCTCATGATGTAAAGGATGTTGTATCTTCCCACCAGAGTCTGGCCAGCACTATAATGACCCTCAAAAAACATTCTGAATTTCCTAAGCATGTCAAAGCTTCCTTGACCAAACTGCAATACCAACTCCAATTCATTGTTGCCCATGTGAGCTCCAGTTCTTTCATAATTTTTGAGTATGAGAAGAAGGCTAGGCTCAAAGATAAAGTTCTTGAGGATTTCCAACTCTCATTAGAACCCTACCTAGAAATCAAAGAGCAAGCTAAGAAGCTCATGGCCAAGAAGGAAGAATTGAATGAGGAACTGGCCAGGATTAAAAAGTGAATTGGACCAAATAGTTAGTGCCCTTGTCAATGCATCTGAGCCTTTAAGGAAAGAATGGGGAAAACAGGTCAATGAATTTCCACAATTTGAGGATGCTAAGGTTAAGGCATTGGCTACTCTTGAAGAATCAAGGAAACTTTAGTTGGAATTTGGAAGTAGTCTTGCATTTATTTGATCTTATGTGGTTCTTTTATGTGGTTGCTTTTGAAATACTTATGGGTTAATGGATGGAAATAAATAGATAACTTTTGAAATCACTTGCATGGCTAGCTCTTAGAATTAGTGGCCATTTTGGAATTTGTAATGAAGTCAAGTATCTAATGGAATAATGTTTTATTTCTTAATTCTTTTGTATGTGCCTCTTGTACAATTTATATGAAAATTTTCTAAGTCATTGAAACTAGAAAACTCCTTCACATATATTAACAATAAGGCCTAACCATAAAATGACTTTCCATAACAAAGGAATTCAGAAAAATAAAAGAAATTGCCACAATGGAAATGCATGTATATACAAGTAAGATGAATAATTTCCAATATGAATAGAACCTGGACCATATAGTGTCGCCTCTTTCTCAATGAAATGTTCCATACTTAGGAAATTAACTGATCTTCGAAATACAGCTAAGTCTACTTCATGGCTTTAGCCAATATACCTTTTGAAGTACTTAGCCTCTCCTTCTAGATATGAATTCTTCATTCATTTTGACTTAGCTATAAGAATGGCCAAAGTATGGCCATTATGCCTCCTTTCCAAGTTTTCGGTTTACTTGGAAAGGAAGCTACCAATCAAGTTACGTGGCTGGTAGAATGATTGTGGACTTCTAGTTCTCATAAATGGAAGGGTGATACTCTTTTAAGTATACCCCATTTACAGGATGCTTGTGGAATCCTCCATCTATGCCCATCAATCTATAAGCCCATTTTCCAAGGACTCGTTCCACCAAGTAAAAACCATTCCAATTAGGGGTCCACTTTCCATATTCCTTGTCTTTGACTTCTGGTGGAAATTTGACTTGCCATACTAGGTCTCCTTCAACAAATGTCTTTGCCTTAACCTTCTTATTGTATGCCCGCATGACTTTCTTCTTTTGAGTAGTAATATGGTCCAAGGCATTAAGACGGACTTCATCAAGGTCTTCCAATTCCACCAACATGGCATGGTTGTAATCTACTAAAGTTAGCTTATTTTGGAAAGCCACCCTTGCAGACCTAATAGTCATCTCCATTAGCAGAACGGCATCATATCCATATTTAAGCATATATGGTGTGATGCCAATACTTAATCTTTTTGAATTTTTGTAAGCCCAAAGAGCCTCAGAAAGTAGGTGATGCCACTCCTTTGGATGATTCTCAATCATCTTTTCAAGGATGTTGAGAATTACTTTTTTGGAAGCTTCAGCCTGTTTATTTAATTGGGCAAAATATAGAGTGGAACTGATCACCTAGATGCCACACTTAGTATAATAATCAAGAACTTTGTTTAACAAAGGAAAGGCCTCTGTCAATGGTGATAGTCTCTGGAATTCCAAACCTATGAATAATGTGCTTCTTGATAAAATCAATCACTGTTAACTACTCACAGGTCTTTAATAGAATTGCCTCTACCCACTTTGTAAAGTAATCCGTTGCCACCACCATATGAGTATGGCCATCTGCAGATAGTGGTGTTAACTTTCCAATAAAGTCCAAAGCCCACCCTCTGAATGGCATATTTTCACTACCGGCTGCATGTTGATAGCTAGAACTCTTTGGATCGGGCCATGTTCTTGACATGCAATGCAAGTTTTTGTAAACTCTATGCAATCTTTTAACATGCCTTTCCAATAGTAGTCGTACCTTCTAAGAAGCCACCTCATCTTGATTCCAGCTTGATGTGTTCCGCATATCCCAAGGTTTGATTTTGCCATCACTCTCATAGACTCATTATTACCAAGGCACCTTAGCAAAAGTCAATCTTCTTTACTCTTTTTGTAGAGATCTCCATAATCAAAATATAATAAGGTGCCAAAAGTTGAACTCTCTAGTCCACATTGGTACTAGGCTCCTATAAGAAATGGATAATTTGTGTTCTCCAATCTTCCAAGTCTAACCCATCTATATCAATATTGAAAATCTCTCATGTCTTCTTGGCAGGTTTGATTCTTTCTGGCTCGTCAGACTACAAATGACATGCTATCTTATGCTATGATTCTATAGAAAGGAGAGTCCTTTTTTTGATCGTGATCATGGTCTCTTCTACACCCAGTGGGAGGGACTTTCACTCGAGAGGCTAGTTGTGCTAGATCATCAGCCTCTGTGTTCAAATGTCTTAGCCAATATTTGAGCTAGAAATCATCAAACTAGCAAAGTAACTCCAAGGCCAAAGAGTGGAAAGGCCTTGTGATGCGCGGCCCGAGCGTGCACACAAAATAATGCACAACACTTTGAGTTTGGAAATTGGTGTCAAGTGGGCATCATAGTTTAAATTTATAAACCGCTTAACACCTATACTATGTAGTATGAGTGAGAAGGGATCGTCCCAAGGGATTGGAGTCGTTCTTGAATGTGAAATTGTAACTAGGGTTAGTAAGTCGAATGATCAAACAAGTGGTTGGTTGGTTGTTTAAACTAGAGAGCAACTAAATTAAATTAAGTAAGAATGCAATGCTAAAGAGAGTAAGTAAGGGAGAGAGAGATCTTGAGGTTTAGATATCACCACCAAGTAATGCATTTCTATATCATTGACAAGTGATTGATGAGGGCAAATAGTGGGTTGCAATAATGGTGTGTATATATTTGGTTGATTCAATAAGCAAGGATGACTAGTTAAGCATGTATTGTCTAAACATCATGTGAAAGGCAAAATATATCTAAGCTATGAAGCATAAATTGTCTAAACAACATGTGAAAGGCACAATAAATCAAAACAAGTTATTAATCTTTTCATTAAGCTCACAATCCAAATACAACACAAGGATAGAGACATACGTTAATTGCATTCACAAGCTTGGATCATCAAACAACAAGCATAGATTGTCCTCCCATTTAACACTACACTACAACTACACTACTAGTATGAAAATAAACTAGGGGAGAGGCACAATCCATCAAGAGGTAAGCATGAACCATCAAGAGAATCACAAAAGCATTCTTTTAAGCACAATGTTTTGACAATATCTAAATCTATAGCATCAATACACATAGACATGCATCAATAACACAAAATCTAGAGATAAACACATGAACATCTATTCTAGCATACATAGACATATGGATAGAATGAAATGACCAATTGGAGGCTTTAAACCACATAAATCATTGAATAAACAAGATCTATATATATCAAAGTGTCAAAACATCAATTACAACACTAATCCCTTAATAATACACAAGATTAAGATATAGAAAGCATGCTTGGGGCTAACTCTAGCCCCAAGAGGATGTGTAGCCACTCATGGTGAGGATGCTCCAACCCTCAAGGGCTAACTCCATGGAAGAGGTTTGCTCCTTGTTGATGAAGATCTCCAATGGTGTCTCTAGCCTCCTCCTCCTCTAAGCTTCATCTCCAAGAGATGATATGAAAAATAATAATAATCTCCTTTTGAAAAAGTAATCCTTATCCTTATATAGGTAGGTCAAAATGACACCCGAAATGAGCTGGGGTCGTGCACACAATATTCCCTAATGATTGGATAAAGGACAACTTTCAATGAGATGGAATTTTAACTTTTTCGCACTGGAATAAGTTCGATCGATCGAAAGTAAGTGAGATCGATCGAACTTAGGCTGGATTGATCCATCTGACTGAGCTTTTTTGGAAAAAGGCAAATCTGAGATATTTGTGGGAGTATTTATGGGAAAAGGACAAAAGTGGTTAGTGGGTGGTACAGCTGTGGATAGGATCAATCATTTGGATAAGGACAAAGGTGTTGGATCGATCGAAGAATGATGTTGGATCGATCAAACTTTTGGACTTAAGTGCTTTGGGTCAAGGCTTGGATCTGTCTTGAAGTGCTGAGATCGATCGATGTTGGATCGATCGAACCTTGGACTTAGATCGATCGAACTTGCTGTGTTGCTTCATTTTACTTCTTTATTTCTCCACTTTGCTCCTTTTTTTGTTTAATCTCAGAATTGCTTCAATTAAGCTCTTATTTGGCTGAGTTAGCTTATTTTTGGGATAAGTGCTTGAAAATGGAAATAATACGAAATCAATCTAAAACGGTAAAGTAAGATAGATAAAGGTACTAGAATGCCTAAGCTTAAGGGGTTTAAATACGCACTTTTTAGTGCTCATCACGCCCCCAAACTTAAATATTGCTAGTCCCTAGCAATGAACTAGAAAGTAAAGGAATGAAATGAACAACTATACAACTATGAACTAGAAAACAATAAATGGATAACGCCACTTTCGTAGGGAACACGATTGCATTTTGCATATGCAACAAGCCTTTTAAACCCCTAGGTTACCCTAGTGGACGAGTGAAGTCTCGTGAGGGTTTCTGGAAATGGTACCCACAAACATTAAGCTCATTCTTTCAAAAGAGGCACCAATATTGCAAACAAGCATTGGGAGAAAACTACCTCAAGTATGCAATTTTTCAAACATTTCTAAGCAATCTCCCAAAATCTTAACATCAAGTAAGCAAGTATGGTCCCCCACACATCAAGAAAATGATCGTGCAAATCAAAACAACTCTAGAATCCTTTTTAAGTGGACCGGCATCAAATGTGTTGCTATCTAAGCCAACTAAGGAATTAATCACATCCTTACCCTCAAACTAGCACACAAATCTAGTACCGATCATTAAGACAAAAAGTGGACCTTTTATTAAATCTTTATTCATCTAGGTGCGCTTATTCTTTTCACTCGGATATATTATTTTTTTTTAAATTTTTATATATATATATATATAGGATCAAAGATGGAAGTATAGTGCAATGTGTTGATCTATTAAGCTTTCTAGCGATTCATGAGGTCGAGCGTTAGGTCAATGACTCCTAAACCAGACGGCTTTAGGGTATTAGGTGTTAAGACACCCCTACGGACTTACAAGCTCAAATCAACTAGGCTACAAATCAAGACAACAACCATCTAATCATTTCCCACTTCTCACCATTTGGGAGAAGTCCTCACTTTTTATTGCTTTTGCTTTTGCTCTTTTTTTTTTTTTTTTTATTCTTCTATTTTTATTTTTATTATATTTTTTTTTTGGAAATTCAATTATTAACCTAGAGTTTAGGCCCTCCACCTTTCAGTGCGAGAAGTTCAGTGCTTGATGAGGCTAGAATCCCGGCTACTTAGTGAAAAGGGGTTGTTATCCACCTTTATCAAGAATGAAAGCTTTCAATGCACTACTAGCTCAATTGGGATATAACCAATTCAATAATTAACAAAGCATGTACCCCACAAATGAATGCTAGTGTGCACCGGTGCTAGTGTAGAAGACTAGAGTGAATCTCAAAACAATCACAAAATCAAGATGATGTGGACCACAAATACAAGCAAGATATCAATCTTTCAAAAAATTTACTCCTAAGTAGCTTCCAAAGGGCATACAAGGAGTATTGAACTCTCAAGTCAAACAATTTTTAAATTTTAAGCAATATAGTCCTCAAAAGATCAAAATCATGGCTAAATATGGACCAATCATAGAAATATCCCTCAAATACACAAGTCATGCTCAAAAGATATGCAATTTAAAACTAACACTGCAAAGCACCATTCCCCCCAAACTTAAATTGCACAATGTCCTCAATGTGCAAAAAGAACAAAGGAAAAAGTATACTAGTGCAACTAAGCAAGAATGATCGGGACTGAAATATCCGAAGTGGGTGGCATGGCCCCCCGAAACTTGGGATTAAACTGTGGTCCTGTAAATTGGCACTTGGATAAACTCATCAGATAACAAAATGGGATAATCAGTGCACAGTGGACATGCAAGTGTAAATGGGATAAACAGATAAAGAAATGAGATAGGTATAAGGGTGGTCCTGAAAATTGGGTAGCACTCTCTCACTAAAGTCACTATGATGCACCTGATGGAGTCAAACATACAGATATGAGAATATAATCATATGACATCCATAGCAAAAATAGATATATAAAATAAATAAAGTGCAGGTACAACAAAAATATCAGAGCCGATAGACCGGCTGTAAAAATAATAGCACTGTACAGTGATGAAAATAAAGTATCTATGGGAGAGAGATAATGAGATAGAAAGGACTGGGAGCTCATGAAGATGCAGTAGGACGGGCAGGTCTGGCGCCGCGGATATCTCTAGATAAATCTCGAAACATGGTCGCGACATCTATGCGGAAGGTGGCAAAATCAACTCTATGGGCAGTAAGATCAGCTCGGATAGCAGCAACAGCA